CAATAGCTGTGAAATATGGTTTCATAATGAATACTTGGAGGATGGAATGAATATGTTTAGTATTTTTGTTTTTCTCACTCTTGAGAAGAGGTGATGGAAGATGGTGGGAGATGAGGTCCTAAGTATGCAGGGGATATTGAGAACTGATCTAGAAGCGATCATGGCCATTATGACCTCGGTGGCCATTTGACTGCTGTATAATCAAGACAGTAGCTACAGGGCTGGTGTTTCCTGGCAGGGCATGTGTTTTTAAATTTTCATGGGTGACTGATTTGACCTGCCTTTGCTGGTCCTTAGTTGCTGAACAGTGAGGTAGAGATGAAGATTTTCAGAGAACCTTCAGGGACTTATCTGTTGTGAAATGTGAGCACTCAGGTACCATTTCCTCCTGGATAGATGTGACTGAATTTGGGCTCAGTTATCAAGAGGCCTCTTCCTTGTGTCTGTTTTAAAATGTAGAGAAGGAGATAAAACAGGGAAACAATCCCATTTTTGGTATAAAGGCTTTTCTTTATATCCCTCTTTCAATCTCCTTACCCGCTTAGTCATCTAGAAGGCAAGACTTTCGAGCCTCAGGAAGCCAGGTGTATGTGAGCGTGTGGACAGGGAAAGGCCCTGGGCCTGTTTGAGAGGATGAGGCCACCCGAGGATGGCAGGTGGTGCCTTTTCACCGTCTTGCTGGTGTCCTCTGGTCATTTTTATTCAGTTTTATCATTTTTGCGCAGTGATGAGTGCGGGACCAGCAAGGAGATATTGCAGCCGTGTGGGCTGAAATGGTCTGGTACCTTCTGAAATTGTTTAAACATAGAGTTTCCATGTGGCCCAGGACTTTCACTCTTAGGCATATAGCTATGAGAAATGAAAACATACATCCCCAGAAAACATTGTACACAAATTTCTTAGAAGTATTATTCACAATAGCCAAAAAGTGAAAACAACCCAAGTGTTCATCACCTGATGTGTAAATAAGTTTCAGGATATCCCCCAATGGAATATTATTCAGCAACAGAAAGATTTGATGTGATGATAGATGCTAAATACATGGAGGAATCTTGGAAATATTCGCAGTAAAATAAGACAGGTTGTGAAAGACATATATTGTATGATTCCACTCACATGAAAGTCCAGAGTATGTAGAACTATGTAGAAAGTACATTCGTGGTTACGTAGGCCTAGGGTGTAGATGAGGGGACAGCTAAAAGATAGAGTTTTGTTTTGTTTTTCCACTCTGTCACCCTGTCTGGAGTGCAGTGGCATGATCTCAGCTCACTGCAACCTCCGCCTCTGGGGTTCAAGTAATTCTCCTGCCTGAGCCTCTCGTGTAGCTGGGATCACATGTGTGCCATCACACCCAGCTAGTTTTTGTATTTTTAGTAGAGAAGGGGTTTTGCCATGTTGTCCGGGCTGGTCTTCAACTCCTGACCTCAAGTGATCCACCCACCATGGCCTCCCAAAGTGTTGGGATTACAGGCATGAGCCACTGCACACAAACTAGCGGTTTTTTCTTTTCTTTCTTTTTTTTTTTTTTTGAGACCAAGTTTTCCTCTTGCTGCCCAGGCTGGAGTGCAGTGGCAAGATCTCAGCTCACTGCAGCCTTCACCTCCTAGGTTCAAGCGATTCTCCTGCCTCAGCCTCTCAAGTAGCTGGGATTACAGGCACCTCTCATCACATCCAGCTAATTTTTTGTGTTTTTAGTAGAGACGAAGTTTCACGGTGTTGGCCAGGCTGGTCGTGAACTCCTGACCTCTGATGATTCACCTGCCTCGGCCTCCCCAAGTGCTAGGATTACAGGAGTGAAGCACCGTGCCCGACCAGGGGTTTCTTTTTGAGGCAATAAAAATGTTCTAAAGTTTATCAAGGTGATGCTTGCAAATTCTATAAGTAGACTTAATGCAACGATGGCTGCAAATTCTATAAATAAATTTAATGTGGTGATGGTTGCAAATTCTATGTAAAACACAAATTGTACAATTTCAGTGAGTGAAAGCATGCTATGTGAATGTCTTAATAAAGCTTTTATTTTAAAAATGAGCAAAGGGTAGAATGTTAACATGGCCCACATCTACATGGTGGGTATATTGGTTTCTATCATATTTTTTCTATGTGGTTTCTATTATATTTTTCTATGTGACCTGGGTGCGTGAGTAGGGAGGCCAAGCTCACTGAGAGCCTCAGCACACCCCCAGCACCTAGTGTGAGTGAGCTGCCTGGCTTCCCTGAGCATGGATGTGATGATGTCACGGGTGTTTACAGATTCCCTTTCACTGTGTCCCACAGCACTCCTGGTTCACGTGTGATACGCTGCACTTGGGGTGGAGGTGTGCTGACCGTCGTAAACGGCTGAGCCTTTCTTCATTCTTTACCATGGCTCTGATGCACAGCTTTCAGATACCAGTTAGGAAGGAAGTTCCTGAGATGATGGACCTTGTGCTAGTCCCATAGGGCTGCTAGGGTAAAGTGTCATAGACTTGGGGGGATGGGCGGGGCATGTATTAAGAAAAGAAATGTATTTGTCACAGTCTGGGGGCTGGAAGTCCAAGGTTAGGGTCCCAGTGTGCTGAGGTTCTGGTGAGGGCTCTCTTCCTGGCTTGCAGATGGCTGCCTTCCCACTGTGTCCTCCTGTTGGGGAGAGAGAGCTCTGGGGTCTCTGCTTCTTACCAGGGCCCTAATCCCAACATTAGGGCCCCACTCGCATGGTCTCCTCTAACCCTGAAGAACTCCCAAAGGCCCCATCTTCAAATACCATCACCTATCCTGGATTGGGGCTTCAACACAGGAATTGGTGGGAGTGGGGAAATGAACATTCAGTCTATCAGGGCCCCCCAGTCAGCCCCACTGTCCCCGTTTAGGGGAAGATTGTAGGGCACAGGCGGGACATAGAAGTGGGGGAAGCACAGGTTCTGCCTCCTGGGAATGGTTCAGCCAAAACAAGGACAGGGACATGGGGCAGACAACAGCCAGTGGGGTGACCAGCAGGAGTCCCAAGGTGTCACTAAGCCGAGGTGTCACTTTCATCCTTAGGTGAGGAAGTTGGCGGAGCACCCACACACGCCAGAGTACTGACCACGTTCCCTTCAAACACGGCTCACTTACCATTCCTCAACCCTGCGAAGAGGAGGTGCTACCTCGTCTCCTGAGGATGGCCCTGAAGGTAGAGGAGTCACGGGAACTGCGCACATCACCCACCAGTGACTATTCACTCCCCACATTCTCCCCGATGGCCTGATGTGCACTGAGCTGGGAAAGCCCTGCCAAGATAAACTCTTCTTCCCAAAGGCCACAGAGGGCAGGCCTCCGACACTGCCCACATGGAGCAGAAGGGACGGAGCAGAGGGGCATCTGTCCAGCTGACTGGTGTGTTCTGTGGGTGGATGGGGCCAGAGAGGACCCAAACATGGCTCCCTTTGTCACTCAGCAGAGGGGCCAGACCACCGTGTACAGGACAGCTGTGCCCCACCAACCTCTGCTGCTGGGCCAGCTCCCAGCACCATGACCACAGCTCTGCATACAGGGAGTGCTGGGACCAGTGCTCTGGCAGTCACCCTGGTCCTGAGCCAACAAGGGCCCTGGGGAGGAATCGGAACTCAGACGGTGAAGAAGGTGTTGGCCAGGAGGGAACCGCGGCGGGTGCTGGGTCCTGTCTATGCTGCGATCTGAGATTCAGAGAGGTGGGTTAGGGGTAAAGGGGTAGAGGTGGGCCACATGGGGTGAGGGGAGTTCATCAGAGATGGGGAGGACAGGACAGTGTGGGAAAGAGCAGAGGGTCCTCCCCAGCCTCAGTCCATCTCCTGTGCAGTCCTCATCTCACTCTTAGGCTCCGGAAGTCTCCCTTCAGCCAACACCAGGCCCCCGACTCCCAGGGCACTTCCCAGACAGCCAGTGCCGCATCCAGGCAGCCCCTGCTCTGCCCTTGAGGTCTGTGCCTGGCAGAAGGGTGGCTGACCCTCGGCCCCTCTCGGCCTGGGTCCCAGCTCTCCCTGGCCCTGGGACCATCAGACACACCCACCCTGCACCTGGCAGGCCGGCCATGCTTGTGCCCATTGGTGATGGTGGGTTGGGAGGGAACTGTTTCAGATACCAATGTAAATCTGTCTGCATCAATTCCACACAAGAGTTCAGTCATCATATGGGAAGGGAATCAGCTGTGGGGGGCTCCATGCAGGACCCCGAGGGCCCCTGAGGCCAGTCCCCGTGGCCACAGCAAGGAGCATCTGCTTCCGCCAGCTGGACAAGACTCTGTCCTGCCCAGAAACCGGCAGAGGGACTTCCCCTGCTCCCCACCCACTGTCGTATCCCAAACACACCCATGTGGATGGACACCTCGACATCTCCCCTCAGCCCAAGGCCCGAGCTCTTCCTGATGAGGGTTAAGCAGGAGCGGCCGCCTCTCCCTGTGTCCATGTTGCAGGCAGCTGCCTTCTCCTCAGCTCCCACCGGGCAGAACAAGAGCCAGCCAGCTCTCTCCATCCCAGGATTTCCCAGGGATGCTGATAACTGAAGCAGGTGGGGCCTTGTGAGTGGGTGGTGGGAGGGATCAGGACTTCCTGAGCATCTGTCAGTCCCTGGAGCATCTGAAGGGGCAGACTACACCTGGAGGAACAAGTGGGGCTGGCCCCCATGGGTCCCCAGTGCCTGGCATCTCCCGGTCCCTCTGCTTTCCCTCACAGACTCCCTCCACTGAGCAGCACAGCCCCGAGGACAGAGGCAGGAGCCCGGAGAGCATTCCCAACACAACTATATTTATTCATATTTACACACGAGACCCCCAAGGCATTGCTCCCCATCCCCAACCCCTACCCCTAGGCCCTCCCTTCCCGTTCAGCCACACTCTTCCTCTCCCACACTCTTCCTCCCCTCCCTCCCCCACCCTCCAAAGCTAATGCCCAGCAAGATCAGCACTGGGGGAGAAGTCTTTGCTTTGGGTCACCCAGTGCCGTGAGAGTCTGAGAGCTGAGAGCCCCACCCTTGAGGATTGGAACCAGGGAGCCTGCCCTGTCCCCCTACTGGCTACGGTGCTGCTTTTTCTTCCTCTTAGAGAGCAAGGGATCACCCTTTCTCTTTTGGGACTGTGAGGGGCCACCCAGCCCCCAAGCCACGGATTGTGCCCCAGAGACTCTGAGCCCAGGCCCTAGGTGGGGCGTCTGTTCAGCAGGGGATGGGCCTCCGAAGAGAGCTCGCTTCCTGGACTTGGTGGCAGGAGCGGGTGCTGGGCTGACGCCTCTTCTTTTTGCAGATTGGGACTGAAGAGCTCCCTGGGGTCCCCGCCCTTCTGGGCTGAGAAGGCCCAAGGCAGGGACAGGGCTCTGGGACAGCTTCCAGGGCCGCAGCCTGTAGTTGGTACCCACGACAGAAACCATACCAGGGATTCCCCTCTCCTCCTCACTTGACCCCTTAGACAGCCTGCATGACTCCTTGACAGGAGAGGCTCCAGGGAGACCCCAGGTGTCTTTGGTCCCCACGCCTGGGCAGGCAGGTCTATGGTCCTGGGAAGGAGAGTCTGGCCGGGCAGATCTCAGCCAGCGGGAATCCAGTCTTTCCAAAAGCACCACAGGGTTTTTGGACCTGGCCACCCCAGTGCACACTCTGCCTCGTCCCTGAGTGTCCCGGGAGGCCATCCGGGGGGTGGGTCTGTGGTCCTGGGGAGGAGAGTATGGCCGGGCAGCCCTCAGCCTGCGGGAATCCAGCCTCTCCAAAAGCACCACAGGGTTTTTGGACCTGCTCATGCCGGTGCATGCTCTGCCTCGTCCCTGAGGGTCCTGGGCAGCCGTCTGGGGTGGGCAGGTTTCCACGCCGACCCTTTGCTGGGGGCCAGGGACATCTCTCTCTGCTCCTTGGCCCGCTGCAGACTCAGAAGACATTGAGTCCAACCGGGCAGTGCCATGACTAGGGTCTGCCCTCGCACACCGTTCCTCCTTCAAGGATAGGCGGCGCTTCTCCGCTACCTGCGGGAGGAAAGGGGGCACTTACTGGCGCTGCCCCAAGTGTGAGCAGGGCCCAGGGTGGCAGAGACCAGGGCACTTGGGCGGCAGGCAGGGAAGCCTGAGGCAGCTGGGCTTCCTGTCAAAGAGAGGGTGTGGCTCTGCCGGGCATCCCGCTGGGCCTCACTGCAGTTTGCATCCTGACTCCCCTCCTGGCTTCTCTCCATCCTGCTCCATCTGAACCTGCACCTCCCCACCTCGGAGTGACTCCCCAAGAAGCTGAGCATCCCCACAGGGTGGGGTAGACAATCAGTTGGGGCTTGTGTGCCGGGTTCCTCCCGCCCCCAGGGTACCTGGGTTCCCTACCCTCCCTGCTCTACCTGGGCAAGGGTGAGTCCTTCCTCCTGCTCCAGTTCCTGGCTTAGGGCCAAGAAATCCATGTGTGGATCTGGGGAAAGCAATTCTTCCAGAAATCGGGGGTGGATGACGGCCTCCACCTGGAAACAGAAGGAAGACAGCGTGAGGTTCCCGGGCAGAGAGTAACCTGGAGCCAAGGACACCTAGAGAAGATGCAGAAAGCAGCGAGCGCCCCGTCCCCACCCTTCTGGAGCTGTCTTATACCATGGCAACCACCAGCTCCACACACAAACCTGGTAGCATCCATACATGCAGACAGAGACACACAAACCACACACACTCACATACGACACAGGAAAATACACAGACACAGTAATATACACACGCCACACTCAGCCACACAGATACGTAGTAACAAATCACAGAGACAAACACACAGACACACAGTCACATACACAGACACTCAAATCCATGGAAACACGTGAAACCACCCACTTTGGAGTAGCTAAGGAACAGAGCTTAATTCCAGGGACCTGCGAGTGTCACCCCCTGGAATTCTGCAGACCCCAGCACTTCAGGCCAGCCCACCTTGGTGACGAAGTCTTCCTGGGAACACAGATTGTCAGCGTAGCTCAGGACGCCTGGGTCTAGAAGCATCCCGTCCCCTTCCTGCTCCACTTCGCCCTCTTCCCATTTTGCCTTTAGCTCTCCTGTGGCCCCAGTGGGAGGCCCCAGCAGGTCCTCCATGATGTCCACATACTCCTGCACCACTTCAGGGGGTATCTCCTCGGGGGCCTTGGTCTCCGCTGGTTGCTGGGGCCTGGGTGGTGGCAGGCAGGCAGGCGGGGCCTTGGGGCAGGCCTTGCTGGGAAGGTACACTGAGGTAGGGAGGGAGGAGGACAGACTTGGTAAGGGCTGCTCCTCCTGCCTGCACCACACGGGAGGGCAGGGCTCGGGGACGTGAAGGGGGTCCCAGCTGGGTCAGGACCACCTGAACCACAGCACCCCAGAGGAGACGCCGCAGGGGGGCACATGTGAGATAGCATCATTTTGGAGGAATTTTCGAGTCACTGATCTGCTGAGTACTCTGCCCACTCATCCCTGTTCCTGGGCAGATTGTTGAGTTTTGGAATGGCGAGTGGAGGGAGTAGGTAGGAAATGTGACCAGGTGAATACCCACTTCATGACCACGGGACACCCAGCCCCCCGGCTCCCCTGAGCTGTCTTGTTGGAAGGAACAAATCCCTCTCTTGAAGGGAGGCATGGGGTGTGGGGACAGTGGCCTCCCTTGGCCCCTCTGGCCTTTGTGGTGGCTCCTGTGGAAATGTGGGAAGCGTACCTGGCAGCTTCACCACCTCAGGGGCTGATGGTCTTCGAGGCTCAAGCCTCGGCAGGGCTGGAGGAGGCAGGCACTGGGGCCCCTTCATCCACTGCGACTTCTGAATCTGCATCTCCTCCTCAGCCTCAAACTCCAAGAACCTGGGGTGAAGAAGGTGCAGGCCGTGCTGAGAGGGTCCAGGCCCCCTGCCNGGGCATCCCGCTGGGCCTCACTGCAGTTTGCATCCTGACTCCCCTCCTGGCTTCTCTCCATCCTGCTCCATCTGAACCTGCACCTCCCCACCTCGGAGTGGCTCCCCAAGAAGCCGAGCATCCCCGCAGGGTGGGGTAGACAATCAGGTGGGGCTTGTGTGCTGAGTCCCTCCTGCCCCCGGGGTACCTGGGTTCCCCTCCCTCCCTGCTCTACCTGGGCAAGGGTGAGTCCTTCCTCCTGCTCCAGCTCCTGGCTTGAGGCCAAGAAATCCATGTGTGGATCTGGAGAAAGCAATTCTTCCAGAAATCGGGGGTGGATGACGGCCTCCACCTGGAAACAGAAGGAAGACGGCGTGAGGTTCCCGGGCAGGGAGTAACCTGGAGCCAAGGACACCTAGAGGAGATGCAGAAAGCAGCGAGTGCCCCGTCCCCACCCTTCTGGAGCTGTCTTATACCATGGCGACCACCAGCTCCACACACAAACCTGGTAGCATCCACACATGCAGACAGAGACACACAAACCACACACAGACACACAAACAGACCCACATACGACACAGGAAAATACACAGACACAAGTAACATACACACGCCACACTCACACCCACACAGACACAGTAACAAATCACAGACACAAACACACAGACACACACAATCACATACACAGACACTCAAATCCATGCAAACACACACATCCACCCCCTGTGGAGTAGCTAAGGAATAGAGCTTAATTCCAAGGACCTGCGAGTGACCCCCCGCCCTCCTGGAATCCTGCAGACCCCAGCACTTCAGGCCAGCCCACCTTGGTGACGAAGTCTTTCTGGGAACACAGATTGTCAATGTAGCTCAGGAGGTCGGGGTCTGAAAGCAGCCCGTCCTCTTCCTGCTCCACTTTGCCCTCTTCCCTTTGTCCTGTGAGCTCCCCCGTGGCCCCAACGGGAGGCCCCAGCAGGTCCTCCATGATGTCCACATACTCCTGCACCACTTCAGGGGGCATCTCCTCGGGGGCCTTGGTCTCTGCTGGCTTCTGGGGCCTGGGTAGTGGCAGGCAGGCAGGCGGGGCCTTGGGGCAGGCCTTGCTGGGAAGGTACACTGAGGCAGGGAGGGAGGAGGACGGTTGTGGTGAGGGCTGCTCCTCCTGCCTGCACCACACAGGGGAGGGCAGGGCTCGGGGACGTGAAGTGGGTCCCAGCTGGGTCAGGACCACCTGAACCACAGCGCCCCAGAGGAGACACTGCAGGAGGGGCACATGTGAGACGGCATCATTTTGAAGGAAGTTGGGAGCCACAGATAAGCTGAGTACTCTACCCACTCATCCCTGTTCCTGGGCAGATTGTATGTTGAGTTTTGGAATGGCGAGGGGAGGGAGTAGCTAGGAAATGTGACCAGGTGAATACTCACTTCATGACCACGGGCCCCCCAATCCCCCGGCTCCCCTGAGCTGTCTTGTTGGAAGGAACAAATCCCTCTCTTGAAGGGAGGCATGGGGTATGGGGACAGTGGCCTCCCTTGGCCCCTGTGGCCTTTGCCGTGGCTCCTGTGGGAACGTGGGACGCCGTACCAGGCTGATTGGCCACCTGAGGGGCCCGGGTTCCTTGAGGTTCAAGCCTTGGCGGGGCTGGAGGAGGCAGGCACTGGGGCCCCTTCATCCACTGCGACTTCTGAATCTGCATCTCCTCCTCAGCCTCGAACTCCAGGAACCTGGGGTGAAGAAGGTGCAGGCCGTGCTGAGAGGGTCCAGGCCCCCTGCCCCCAGGACCAGGCAGCAGCCGATGGCAGGGATGGGAAGGAGTGCCTCGGGCGGGCTGTCCAGGCCCTCCCTGGGGCCCATCCGCCCGTCCCAGAGGGAGCTGCTTCCAGAGTTCTGGGGTCACCCTCCCTCACCCGGCCCCTGCAGAGCCCATGGCATCAATAGGGCTTCCTGACTCAAGTCAGGACCACGAGGCCCTGGAGGGCCCCAGGGGGTCACCTCCTCCAGGCTTCAGCTGGCCAGTGGTGGGGTTTATGGCAGAAGGGGTCAGGAATGTTGCCCAGATGCAGGAGTTCTGAGGTTGGGACTGTGGGGATAACCCAGGATGACGAGGCCTGGGAGACCCCTGGTCGGGAGGAAGCAAAAGCTGGGCCCCGAAGACAGGGCCCCTTTCCCCTGAGGCTGCTGTCTGTCTGTCTTAACAGAGGGGACTGCGAGGAGCAAAGGCAGGCAGGCCAGAGATGGGTCTCATGGTGTCCTGGACGCAGGTCTCCCCTGACCCAAGGCAGGTTTCTCCAATCCTGGCAAGGCCGGGATGGGTGAAAACCGACTTCTGGTCACTGCTGTGAGGAGAGTGCACCCTGCTCTGTCTATAGTCGCCAGCGCCCCTTCTCCCCATCCTCACAGCTGGTGGTGACCACCTTTGGGCTGTGATGCTAGCTGCTCCCTCCATGACCCCTGGTGTCAAGGTAGGGATTGGCTGCAGGCCAGGCAGGGTGTGGCTTCCCTCCAGGGCCGGTTAGAGACCCCAGAGCACTCTAGGAGGGAGGAGCAGCTTCCTGAGGGAGCCAGGGGCCCAGGAGGGCCTGTTTGTCCACACCCTCCTCATGCTCCACTCTGAGAAGCCACCATGGCCACCAGGCCTCTGTCACCTTCTCTTACTCTGCCATGGGGGCTCTGTCCCTGCACCCCAGACTCACTTTCCCGCCATCTCGTAGTAGATCATCCGGTCAAAGTTGCTCGTGTGCTGCCATTCCTGCACGGCCCGCCACAGTCCCTCCTCCAGGGTCATGCTGGGCTTCCGCTGGGCCAGGGATCTGAGAACTGGGCTGTAAGGCGGTACAGTCAGTCCCAGTTCACAAGCCCACCCTCCATCCCAAGCCCAGCTGGTCCCAACAGCCGGCCCCTGTCCTCCCTACACCTGTCCTATCATGTGTCCCTGTCCTGTTCTCCCCAAGGTGGGCTCCTCAGCCTCCAGGACACGCCCCCAAGATCAAACATCAACACAAGCCAACGGGTGGCCTCTCCGACTGCCCCTCAAGTCCTCAGTGTTGACAAGTGAACTCAGTACTTTGGGTGGAACGTGTGTGTCCCCCGCATTCCTGTGCTGAAGCCCTCAGCCCTGGTGTGTCTGTTCTTGGAGTCAATCAGGGTTAGAGCAGGTCATGACGGTGGGTTCCCGTCACGGCATCTGAGCCCTAATTAGGGCAGGAGGAGACACCAGGGCTATCCCTCTCAGCCTGGGACTTCCGGCCTCTGGAGCTTGGATACATGAATGTCTCCTGATAAAGCACCCAGTCTATAGGATTTGTTATGGCGGAGCCCGAGCTGACTGAGACAGCGCACACACAGAATGACCGGGGAGCGAGGGTTAACGTGCAGGTTCCAGGGCCCCAGGACTGAGCATTTAACCAGCTTCCTGGGGAGTCTGGAGCAAGGCAGCCCCTGGGGACGCAGCCTCAGGGTCCTAGAGAGGAGCGGAAACCAGAAGCAAAGCAGAGCGGCATCCAAGCCCACTGCATGCAGAGCCTGTGAGCCTGGGGCAGCTCCATTCCGAGAATTAGGGTCCCCAGTGCACCGGGGACTCAGGTCCAAGGGAGAATGCAACCAGTCCCAGGATGCAGGGGCGGCAAGATTTTTGGGAACAATGATTGGGCCTCCTTACGTCTACACCCTGGGCAGGGGACTTGCCTAGGGGAGTGGCCAGGGTGTTGCCTGGTGGATGTGCTCAAGCTCCCGTGGAGTACGGGTTTGCTCATCAGTGGGGGACACAGGGTCACAGAGGCACTGCAGGATGGAGAGAGGCAGGACTGGGACTGAAATGACAAACTGTCCCAGATGCTGGCATTGCTGCCTCAGTCACCACAGTCCACGGCCCCGGGCTGCTGGGCTCGTGGTGCACTCAGAGCCATCACTGGAGCCTGTGGCTTTGGGGAGCACTGTCCAAGATGGCCTAGTCCTGATAATGATAGTAATAGGGACAGTAATCATAACTGCTGTCATGTAATGTGTCACAGCATGTGCCGGACACTGTGCTGCATGCGTCATATGTGTGCTCAAGTCACCTCTTCACCATCCTCTGAATGAAGCATCGTCGTCCCTTTTTCTAGAAGGGATCGAGGGCGAAGCTGCAAATACCTGCCCAGCATGGACCCTAGTTCGGGGCCCGAGACCATCTCCTGTGCAGGCTCCACCACCGCTGTGCCAGCTGGACCTCGGCAGAACAGTGGGCGTGTGCCAGGTTCCTGCAGCTCCCACCCCCAGCCCATGTGCTGTGCCCCTGGCCTTCGCCATTCAGGTCAAGGGGAGGCACTGGGGCGCACTCAAGTCCTAAACCCAACCTGTGGCTCATGTCGGACCGGGAACCCTCTCTGACCTGGGTGTTCTGTAAACATTGTCATGAAAATGACTGGAAGTAAGGATGGGCTGCACTCACAGGACAGTGAGGGGCAGGTGACATGAAGCCCCTGAGAGTCTGTCCTGAGTGGCAGCCAGATTAATGTTGCTGAAAATGTGCCTTTCCATAGTTCAACCCATTGCCTTCAAGACCGCTCTGCATGGTCCTCTGAACAGCGTGACCTCCCGTCCATCGAGCAGCCTCTTTATGGGTGAGCTGCAGGACGAGCTCCGGTGCCCCGAGGACACTCACATGAAGAAACAGGAAAGCGCTTCCGTGTCCGGACTCTGGGGAAGGTGCCTCCGGGCCAGGGGCTTGTAGTGCTGCCAGAGTCGGAAGTTCTCATACACGCTCTTGGGGTTGCAGAAGTCATCCGGGGGGGCCTTGGCCTGGGAGGGAGCCAGGCTGCCCTCTCCATGAGCCCCTTGTGGCCATGGACAAGCGTTCCCTGGGACCATCATGGGGGCCAGCTGGGGAGCCGGTGGTGCTGGAGGAGGAAGGCCCTGAGACCAGCCTCCCTTGCAGGCCTGGGTGCCTCCAAAGACCTGGGCAACCATAGCGGGCAGCACAGGGGCAGCTGCCAGGGGTTGGTGAAGTGGATATGCAACACCCTCGCAGAGGGTGCCTGGTGCCTGCCAGACGAGGGGGCCATGAGTTAGGACCAAGGTCTGTGCCTGAGGGGCCTTCACAGGCCCCACTTCTGTCCTCATCTGGACAAGGACATTGGAAGCCCCAGCCCAATTCGGGCCTCGGCCATCCTGTCCTGCCACCTTAGGGGTCCTGGGGAAGGCAGACAGCAGCGAAGGGCCGCCTGGAGGAACCACTGCAGTCACGAGGGGCGGCTCCTGTGCTGGGCCGGGAGCAGGTGTAGTGAAGGGCAGAGCCGTGAACACTGGCATGGAGGTGCCAGGGTTCTCGGTCACACCCGGTTCCAGCACTGGGTATGCTGTGGAGACAAAGGAAAGAGGTGAATGAGCTAGGGTCTCAGGTCCTCCCTAGTCACCCCTAGATCAGAGGGGTGTCCTACAGCTGAGGGCGTTTGACAGGGAAGCTCTGCAGCTTGCAAGTGTCCCTGAGTGTGCATCGGATGCTCTGTTACTCCAAGGGAGGGTCGCCTCACTAGAGAGCCTGGCCACAGCTCCACTAGACTCCCTGACGCCTGTCTGCCAAGAAGCAACAGCCAAGCCTTCGCTGCCTCTGAGGGTCTCCCTTGGGCATCCCTGGCAGACCCTGCCAGCCTTACAGGCATCTCCCAAGCCATGGGTCAGGGATGAATTTCTCGCCGGCTTGGAGGCCCTCAGTATGCTCAGCAGCAGGTGAGGGGCCTCCCCCAGGGCAGTGCTCTGCACTCAGAAGGCCTCCAGGAAGCCAGAAGGTTCCTAATATTATGGTCCCATCTCCTCTTCAGTCTTCCTTTTCCTGAAGCTCTCGTACACCCCTTTCTTTCCTAGCTCAGCACAACAAAAGAAAACCACTGAATAGACCGGGCGTGGTGGTTCACGCCTGTAATGCCAGCACTTTGGGAGGCCTAGGCGGGCAGGTAACCTGAGGTCAGGAGTTCAGGACCAGCTTGGTCAACGTGCTGAAAGCATGTCTCTACTAAAATACAAAACTCAGCTCAGTGTGGTGGCACAAACCTGTAATCCCAGCTACTCAGGAGGCTGAGGCAGGAGTATTGCTTGAGCCAGAAGGCAAAGACAGCAGTGAGCCAAGATTGCACCACTGCATTCTAGCCTGGGTGACAGAGGAGGAATCTGTCTCAAAAAAAAAAAAACAATGAAAGAAAACCACTGGATGGAAATCTTTCCCAAACCAGCACCCTGTGAACCCTGAAGATAACCCGTAAGCGTCACACCCAGCCTGCAAGTGATTGTCGTGGTACCATGCACAGCAAGTGCTACACAGGGCTCAGATTTGGGCCACCCTTTCCTCAGTGCTCGGTGGTCCTGGCTGCCACTCAGGAAGCTCTGTTCCCAGGGAGCAGGTCTGAGAAGCAGTGGTGGAGTTCCCTGAGGTACTGTCATTGCTCAGCCAGCAACAGCGGCACACGATTAGAGCATAGCCAGCCAGCGGTGAGCAGTGGGGCTGTCAGGGGAGGTGTCCGGGGATTTTCACAGCTGCTGGTCATGTTACAGTAGGTCGTGAGACAGCGAGCCCATCTCTGGTCCTTTGCCTTTGAGCTCCCAGTAACTGAATATAGTGACCAACCAAGAATCAGAGGTTCTGGGCCACAGGCTAGGTGGGCAAAGTTGTCTGGAGCTCATCACTGTTCATTAGGACCTCATGCAGTCTCCAGTCAAGGGGAATAGGGATACAGCACGTGCACCTCATCAGTCAGGACACACACCCTAACTTGAATAATAATAATAAGAGGACCATCTTCCTATTTGTGCGCTACTCTCCTTCCTCTACTGAAAAGGAAACCATCTTTCCAGACCCTTCCACTGAGAACCCGCAAGAGTCCACACCTGTCCCCTGTTCACGAGGCAGTAGACATGGAATAGAAGCAAATCCTTCATCTCCACAGTAACACAAAGTGCAGAGGACAGGCCATGAGCTAGCAGACAAGAGGAAGTGGGTCTGAAGACCTGAGTTTCCACAAAAGAACGAACAATTCAGAACAACCTGGGAAGCCCAGGCCATGTTGCCTGAACTTCCCCAACTGCCCCCACCCCTGTTAAATCAGAGCCAACAGCCACCTGAACTGACAGAGAAGCCACCTCTGGGGAGGGGGCTGAGAGGCTGCGGCAGTTACAGTACCCTCAGCCTCGCCCACCCAGAGGCTGTCACTGCAGGCTCTGTCACAGACAACCCACCCAACAGTTTTCTGGCTGAGACCACTTCTCCCCAAGCCTCCCTAAGATCCAGCAAACTCCAGTCCAAATCCCTCTGAACACTATGGAAGGACACCTTCCAGAAGCCTGAAGACACAACACAGGGCTCAGGCTTGCCTGCCACTCTCCCTGGGCCACCAGCACAACACGATCCCTCCACTCCCTACAAACACATGGTGACGTGACCTGTCCCCCTCCAGAAAGAATCGATACATCCACTCCATCCTTTCCCCTACACGGTGTATTCCCCAGGCATCTTGGTCCACCTCTAAGGAGCCATACTCCCTAACCACAGACTCAGGGTGCCATGGCCCTCCCCAGGTGTGATGTCTTTGGGGACATCCAGTGCTCCCTCCCTCCTCGACATCAGCCCTATCAACTGTCCCCTGGGGCAGTGTCACATTTGAATTCCCAAGGATTTGAAACACGGCAGAGAATTGGATAATGCCCCTGTCCCTACAGACTCACCTCCATTTGAAGCCATCCCCTTAGGCTGGGTGCTGATCACCGCTGTCTGAAAGTTTCCGTGATAAGAAAAGTCAAGGACAGGACCCAGAGAGTGACCTGCCTCAACAGATTCTCCTGAGTTCAGGTAGATCAGAAAAAATTTGAAAATAAATAGGTTTAGAACATAGGACCCCAGACATTCTGCAGCGGGGGAGGGGCGCTGCAGCAGGTACTGGTAGGGGTGGGGGACATTCTGTGAAGGGCTCCAGCCAATAGGCAAGAACTGAGGTTCTCTTCCAGCTGGACGGCAGCAACGCAGACTGTGTGCGCCTCTTTAGGCAACTTTTAAATTGTCCTTCTGACTCACAGCACAAAGCTTCAACCTGATGTCCCCTTTACTTCCATTTTTTTGTCAACAAACCTACTTTTGTGCCCCTCAACTCATGCTCTTTCCCATTTGGGCTCTTTCCCGCTCTTGATGAATTTCAACAGGGGCTGCACTTCCTAAACACAATTTAGGACCCCTCCTAAGAACCCCTGTGTTTGTCAGACGATCCATGTCTGGATCCTCTGCATGGTTCAGATGATCCAGGCTATTAGGTGGCTGTGTGCTCATCATTGTTATGGAAGCCGTCCTTGAGCCCCCACGTCGTGTATGTTGCTGGAATCTGTCCACACCAGCAGGCCAGCCTTACTTCCCATCTCCTTTGCTGGAAAGCCTCAGTCCGGGAAAGAGTGGCTATGTCGCCAGAAAGTCTTTCATTTTGTTTCCCAGCATATTGTGCTGGTATTAAATGTTTATTTTTTATCTTTTAAATGATTTTAATTTAACCAAGCAATACTTTTGCATGGTTCTAAATTCAAATTGTGCACAATGGAATAGGCAGTGACCAGTCTTCCTCCCACCTCTTTCCCTGTCCACAACATTTTCTTTCCTGGAGTAAACAGGTGTTTGCTCCAGGAAAATATGAGAATGGTGTTTTGAGAGATGAGAATCTTGGCCAGTGATTTTAGAAGAAAATGCAAACAAAAGAAAAATGAGGTTTTCAATTGAAGGTACATCTCTTCTTCAATATGAAGACATTAATTGAATTGGTTGGATCCCCATGCAGTGGTCAGCAAAGTCCTTTGGCAACTGACAGAACAACATCTGGAGACTCAGGAACTGGGTTTTGTTTGAAGAAACTTCCCTACAGGAGTCATGAGCAGAGGGAAACGAGTGTGGGAGAAAGGAGGGGACTCTTAGGGGGGAGCACAAAAGGAGAAAAGTAAAGCATGTCATTGGTGAGGAAGAAAACGGAACACTGCTTCTGTTTCTTCCCTCCACCTCCTTCCCTTTCTTCCTGTGGATGAACAACTCCAGCCCACGGAGGGTGGGAGCTGAGTTTACTCTTGTTCTCCCGATGCATATTGTTTTGTCTTCACTTCTGTTTAACATCACCTTTTTATATTTTTATTATTATATATTTGGTTTCCCACGGCATCTCAAACATGCTTCTGTCACTGAGAAATGAAGGTTGCCTATTCACACACACACACAAAAAATATATATGGAGGAGTTTGGGGAAGGGAAGGCACTTTCAGATGGATGAGTGCACACTGTGTTCATTTTCTGAAATGCTCCCTGTTGGCACTTACGAAGCATTTGCCCCTTCCGAAGACAACTGGGATTCAAGAAGGCAGAGTTGCAGGAAAACATAACTGGGGCCACACTGCAGGGAGGGCAGCGGATTGCAAGTATCAAGCCCAGGGTCCCCTCCTCCTTGCTCCAGTTGTGTGAGAAACTCATTTCCTAACTCCTGTCCAATATTCCTCGTGGGTTCTCGGTTTGGTCCCAACTCTAAACCTGCATGGTCCTTGAGCATTTCTATGAAATATCTCCACAGTGGCCACTGGGAGGGGAGTGACCTCCACACAATGCCTGCCTGTCTGGGCGCTCCCAGGCCTTTTGTCCTCTGAGACAGAGCTGCCTTCTTACATGCAGCCCTCTTCTGCCATGCAGCTCACCTCGATCTTAGCTGAGAAGATCAACGGAGAGCAATTCAAGCAAAACCATGGTAAACTTACCAAAACAAAACAAAACAACATAAACACTTTGGAGACCTTTCTGAGGGCTTGCTCTTTTATCATGGGGTAAACTTGAATGATTTTCAATCAATTGCTTCATCTCAGAGGGATGTTGATGGAAAATCTCCTACTCAGGCATTGAAGAAGGGCGGAATTCTTGGTTACTTCCTCCCCTTTATCAAGTCAGTCAGCTGATGCTTTCTCAGGATTCTCACACACAGCTTTGTTACCGGATTTGAATGAGTCTTTTTCTGAGCCACTGATAGAAAAAGTATACTGTGGAACAGTATCTTGTCTGAATTCTGCAATCCTCTCTGTATGTGTTTGAAGTCCTAGATCCCAGGAGGAGAGACAATCAAATTAGCCAAAGGTAATTTGTGAAGACTGGCTGTGGGAGGTGGTGGCTAAAAGTCCTCTGGCCCCTGCTCTCTGAGCATGAATGCAGGAAGTTCTGGGCTGCACTGACTGGTGAGAAAGAACATCTCAGAGCATGGATCTCATTTCAGAAGACAGATGCTATTCCACCCGGTCACAGAAGGTAGGTAGAGGAATGGCGGGTCCATGCTGTGTCCTACAGAGCTCTCGGTTTCTGCACTTGAGGCCCTGGGCCAACGTAGACGTGAAGACTCTTCACTTTTATCAGGAGGAACCATGAACGATAGGAACTTGCAAATGAGCAGAAAGGATCTGACGATTAAAGTTTCTTCTGAAGCAACTAGAAATTCAAGTCAGTGAGTTACTTCTCTACTAGTTTTTTATGGCCAACCCTAATTCTGCACTATGTTGCAGAGTGGGGTTCAGGTGAGCATGGAATTATTCCCTTACTATCTGCTGCTTTATCTACTGAAATTGATCAAAGCTATAACAAAAACATTTCTAGAAATCATTTGAATGCGGTAGAAAAACTGTGGGCATGGAGTCAGAAGAAAGTATCTTTTGGAGTGCTTTTTCAGGTCTAAAATTCTTTGCCAGAAATGTTCTTTAATGGAACCTCCAGACTGGATAGGAAAACAGGGCATAGTAAAAGGCATGAGCAGGAATGAAATAAATGCAGTCCAAAGGGGGAATGCGAGACTTATGCAATCTGAGGAAACTTTGATTTTGGGTAAACCCTGCAAAGGAAAACCTTTCAGCGAGGCTATTAGCTAAGTGCATGGACTGCAGATTTGTGTTACTGAAAATTAGGAGCGGTGGTTTGGAATGCGCTGGTTTCTCAGAGGGACGGTCATGGAGGTCCCAATGAGGAGGCGTCGCCTGGCCCCAGGAAGCGCCCAGGTTCCGCGTCTCTCCACTTGCGCAGCTCCTGCGGGGCGCCCCCACGGCGGACTCCGTGTCCGCCCCGCGCACAGGCGCATCAGCCTCGAGGCGGCGGGGCTCCAGCACGCCCTCAGCGGCTCCCGGTGTCCGTTGCAGGTGGTTGGGGCACGGAGACGCGCAGCGCGCGGAAATGGCCATGATCCAACGGCCTTTGCTCTCATGGCGTCCTCCTGGTGTTACCTAAAAATAAAGCTACGTGTGATTAGAAGGTAATCACCTCCTGGTCATGCTCCCGCTGGTCATCAGTGTCCGCTGGGCGACCCCACCCTTGTGGCCACAGCGGGCCTATGGCTGCGCTTAAGGCGGGAGCGTGCCCAGAGGGGACCCTGCAGGACTCCCAGACCGTGCTTCTTTCCCTTGCTGGCCTGGCCCTGAAATGAGGGAGGAGGTTTAACAATGCCATGGGAACCCCAAAGTGCGTCTCCTCCGTGCCTCACATTTTGAACAATACAAGAGCTTGAGGAAAACCTCAACAGTTGAAACTGTGAAGCGGTTCAGCAAAGAAGTAGCTCCTGTCCTGGTAAAATCAGCGACATTCTCACGGATATCCTCATTGGGTGAGTTGTGAAGCTTGTTGACTTAATCAGAATGATCACCCAGCATGCGTGTTCCAATACGCTCATTTGTCAATGATACGAGCGGCTGCAAAGTGGGAGAACAGGCCTTTAGTCGTATTCTGTCCACTTGGCAGCACAAGTTGGTTGTGGATGCAAGAGTATGGCCAAAGTCAAGAAAAGCTTCTATGAGAATCACTTACTTATGTGCAATTTATAATAAAAAGTAGGGTATATTATTTGTAAATTGTAGGCTACACATGTATTATATCTAAAATTTACTGCACACGTGTGTGTGTCTTCTTGGGCAGTTGGGTCAGTGTGTATACTTGAGAATATAAGAAAGGTTTGTTTTGGACTTTGATGGGATATGAGATATGTGGGGTGGTTGTGTGTATGTGAAAAATGTGTTTATATGACTTCTTAGTTTGCAATTTGATATTTATTTAACTGGTGAGAATCTAATATATATTCATATGTGTGGGTTGGTGGTGTCTGTGTGGAGATTGCAGATTAAAGACGGTCATAACCGGGCTGGGTGCGGTGGTGGCTCACGCCTGTAATCCCAACACTCTGGGAGGCTGAGGCGGGCAGATCACCTGAGATAAGGAGTTCAAGACCAGACTGGCCAACATGGTAAAACCCCGTCTCTACTAAAAATACAAAAATTAACTAGGCGTAGGGGTGCACGTCTGTAGTCCAAGCTACCTGGGAGGCTGAGGCAGGAGAATCACTTGAACCGGAGAGGCGGAGGTTGCAGTGAGCCTAGATCGAGCCACTGCACTCCAGCCTGAGCAACAGAGTGAGACTCCGTCTCAAAAAAATGAAATAAATAAATAATTATTGAATATAGGAATCAAAGAATGGGGTTTCAGGTTGGGTGCCCTTAGTTCAGTCCCTGAGAGTTTATAAGCAATAATGTTTTGTTTTTTAAAAGAAGTGAAAAAAGGGAGCATAGTTATATTGAAGGAGAAGTTAAACTATGACTCGGGCCCCCAAAGAGTCTTACCTGACCCCTTATGCTGCTGTGGGACTATAGTGTCTCATTAGAACTGTCCTTAGTCAGCCGCTTTACACCTGCCTCTATTAGCTACTGGAT